GAGGGGAGGGGAGGGGAGGGGAGGGGAGGGAAGGGGAGGGAAGGGAAGGGAAGAAAAAAGAAGGCAAAAGGAAGGAAAGAAAAAGAAAGAAAGAGCAAGGAAGGAAGAAAAAGAAAAGATTTTTCATAATTAGCCTGTTTCATTACCTTCCTCTCCTATGAGCTTACATTACTTACAGACTACATTACTCAATTAATCCCGTTATTATATTATAATCCGTTATTATCCCCTTTTTCCTGCTTTAGTTTTCCCCTTTGTGCTGGATTAGTCTATTATCTTCTAACTCATTTAAAAAAAATACTAAAAACTATGTACTGCAAACTATTAAAAAATAAATTTAAAAAATACAAAAAGCTACCAACTCAAGTATCATGCTATTTTTTTCCTCTCTCCCCTTCACAGACACACTTGAAACAGCTGCCTATTTTGCTCTACATCTTCCACTCCAGTGATCTCTTCGTCCTTTTATTTAACCTCTCAGTCCCATTTGACAGATGAAGGCGTCCTCTTTCTAGACATTTCCTCTTTGGCCTTCTAAGACATCAATTTCTTAGTTTTTCTTCTACCCACTAGCTGACCATCACAGTTCCCTTCCTTTAATCCTCCTTTAATATATCTCTTCATGTCAAGTTTTTTCAAAAATCTACTCAATTTTTCTCTCCTCTTCAGTAAGAGCTTTGCAAAGAACTAAATCCAAAGGGATGTTAAGAAGCCATATTTGAGAAAGGGGGTAGCAATAGTGTCTCGTGAAGAAAGGTAAGAGGCACTAGGTTTCCTGTACTACAAGTGTTCCAGAAATAAAGATTTACCCCATGTCATGACTTTCAAATATCCCTCAGATATTGTGTAAGTAAGCAATCCACCAAGAACCTAATTTTTACACATCAAAGTACACTGATAGGGTTGCAATACACACAACTGTCAAGAACCACAGCCAATCAGGTAAATTAAGTGAGAACTTTTTCCCATGAGTTGACTATTTTAGAAAATCAGATTACCAGTGGCAATGAAGATCTACCTGACATGTCAAAACTACACAACTGTCTCACTCTGAGTAAATCAGTCATATTCCTGTGAATTTTACAGATAGGTGAGACACTCCCTATCCCATGCCCAGGCCTTATTTCCTCTTCATGCACACTTTTCAATATCTAGTATCTTGTATCTTTTCCTTAAGAATCTTGCTTACCAAACTGTAAAAGTTAAATTCCACACCTAACAGAATTACTGCTTTATTCACTGCTATGTCCCCAACCTCCACTACAGTTTGTGACACAAGGGCTCAATCAGTATCCAATGACTCAGTCTGAGTATACAAGTTTTCTATTATGGGCATAAACAAGCACTTCTGTACTGAGATGATAACAAAAACATTTCTGTTATTTTTTGTTTTTGTTGGTTTTTTTTTTCCAGTGCCGGGAATTGAACTCACGACCTCACACTTGCCAGGTAGGCGCTGTGCAGCTGAGCTAAATCCCCAGCCCCAACATTTCTGTTATGATTATAGCATTGTATTGATTGATTTTATTGTAAGTACAAAGAAGTTACATTAGCTATGAATTATCATGTCAGAGGAGTTAAGGGTATATTTCAAAGTATATCCTATAAAAGGGTCAGGAGGCCTCACAAGGTTGAGAAACACTGGTTAGTGTGAACTCACATTTAACTCAGACTTCTCATTTGAACTCCACAGTCACAAATCCAGCTGCCTCCCTGACAACGCCAAATAAAGGTTCTAAGGACATCTCAACTCTAACATGTCCAAATAGAAACTGATTCTCCCTCAATCTCTGTCGTCCCTGTGCAGTCTCAGAAAATTACTCCACCAACTCCAGAAAGCTAGGAACCAGTCTTTAGTCCTCCTTCCCTGACCCCTAATTCCTATGCACCAACAAATCCTCTAGTCTACTCTTAAACTCTATCTGGAATTCATCCACTTCTGTCCGTTACCAAAATCACCTTGGCCTTTACCACCTGTTATTCATATAATCTCTTAACTAGAGGCCTGCTGCCATTCTTCCCTCTTCAATCCATTCTCTACATGGCAATTAAAGTGTTCATTTCACAACTGTTTCCCACGGAATTTAGAATAAAATTCCAATTGCTAACCATGGCATGTAAAGTCTTACACAACTGGCTATTTGACTAATTTGCCAAACCTCTCACACCATCCTCGTCTTCTTTCACTTCCCACACACACCAGTCTCCTGGGGTCTTTCCTCTATTGGAGCTCCTTCAACTCCCCTCCTTCCCCAGGGCCACTACAAGCAAATATATTCCTGGAGCAGCCAGCTCCTTATACAACAGGTCTTTGCTTGATTGAAACTCAGCCTGATTACTGAATGTAAGGTAGATGTTCCCTGTTATTCTCTTCCTATTGTTTTCTTTCTTGGCACCTATCACAGCTTGTAACTGGAGCCTGGCAAACAGCAGACACCCAGTAACTACTTATTGAAAGAAGGAATTAATGAGTCACCCTTGAACCCACTCTTCCCTCACCAGTAAAATCCACTTGGTTATAATGCCTAACTATTTTAACCTGCGAAATATTCCTCAAATATTTTCTAATCTATTCCCATTCCCACACATGCCTGGATAATTTTACCACCTTCTTAACTACTTTTCCCTGCCTATCTTCTCATCAGTGCAGGAGTCAAGAACATAATCCCTCAAGTCAGTCTCTAAAGAAACAACCTACTACAAACATGCTCTCATTTCTTTTCTGCTGAGAAAAGCTCCTCCGGTTTACCTGTGCTTATAAAGGAAAAAGAAAAGGAGATATGACTCCAACATACTTCTCCAGCCACATCTCACAAGACTCTACTGACCACATACCTTTTATTCCAGTCATGTCTAAAACTAAGATGGCTCCAGGAACATACTATGTATTGCATTCTCTGCCTCTGCATTTAATGTTCCCTTTGCCTGGTTACATTCTGGGTGTCCCTCAAGCCCTAGCTCCAAAGTCATTTTTCCAAGAAGTCTACCTAAACCTTCAGAGACGGAATTAAGTTTTATATTTGCATGTAACACTCATCATCTTGCCAAAACAGGCGAAATTAGCATACTTGTTACCAGAATGGATTGCCAAGCTATGGAGATTTACAAACCAAGTAACCTCAGGCAAATTATTACCACCTGTAGGCCTGGGTTGCCTCATCTATAATCCAGGACATTACCAGAACTGCTGAGAGGACTAAATACTTAGCAGATATGGCAATAATAAATAAAATTCAATACATAGTAGTCAACAGTTTTTAATGTAAGCTGTGTGGGTCAATCTCTGAGCTACCCTTGAGTCAATATATGCTTTGGGTATCTGTGTATCATTATTACCTACATCTAGCCCAAGAGCACACAGAATTTCCTGGAAAATAAGGGGCTTCAGAATTACCATGACAATGGTTAGATGCATTTGACCAGGTTAGAGAATCTTTAAGAAACATCAAGAATATCTTATACTGAGATGAAATCAGGCCGTATATTCTTCCATATCCATCAGCTCTAAACTGATTATTGCTCTGATGCTCTGGCTCATCATGTCAACTTTTACTGCAATTTTTTTCTTGGCTTCTTTCAGACTCGGGATTATTACTTTCCGGGGAGTAGGCTTGCGCTAATTTACATGACTTTTAAACTAATCATCAGATTTAAAAAGCAATTTTGCAATTTAAATCCAAGGTACTTAATTGACTTCCTACCTGCGGGCACTAAATTATCCTAAACGGCTCATCAGACCTACCAGTCCACACAGGAGCAGGAGCAAGTGTTACGGTTGTGTTTGGAACTCACACTGATGATTCAGAACGGGTTAGGCTAAGGGGTGGACGCCCTCGCCCTGCAGGGGACTCACAGTATCTGTAAAGGGCTGTGTGTACGGTACATTCTCAAGCCGATGTCCATCACCCCAGCGTGAAAAGCCACCCCTCCGCTAAGGATGAACGTGTGTGTGTTGCTGTGGCGCCGCGGCCACGCCTGGGGACCTCCAGCCTGGCGGGTGGCCTGCTGCGAGTCCTAACACCAGGGTCACCGGCATGCAGAGCTAAGACCGTGCACCCATCGCACGGGCTGCGGTCCCGGAGGCCTCCCTCCAGGGAGGGCTGGACGAGCACGGCGCTCAGGAGGACAGCGGGAGGGGAACGGGCTGCGGGGCTGCGAGCGAGGTGGGTCGATCCTTCACGGGGCTTGGCGTGCCCCGGGTTTTGAGGGGCAGGACCTTGCACCAACCTCCACGAAGGCATCGGTCAGGTCACTAGCACGGTCCATCACCGGCAAATGGCGCCCGGCCACGATTTTCACCTTCAGCTTCCCGGGCATCGTCTGGGCTTCGG